GAAAATCTGGATGTTGTTCTCACATTATGCTGAGTGGAGTGCAATGCAGTAGATCTCCATACTGATTTCACATTCATACACGAAGGCCCGTCTTGTTATCTTTCGGCTCCTGGCTGGCTTTGACATCCTCATGTGTGCTTGTGCCACCTGTAGTTGAAACGATGCTGCTTAGGTTGGTAGGTGGGTGAAAGAGACAACTTCCTTAATGTTTGCCCCGTTAATGGTAATTGGTGCTTGTTTCTGGCACTCCGCAGAGTTAAAGCAGCTTCCAAATTACTACTCAGTCGACGCTATCAAGGCCTTTTCAAAGTGGATAAAGTTGAGGTAAAAATCCTGTTGACTGCCTTCCTATCCTCTGTTCTATCTGATACACCTTTGTGATCAACACAAGCATTAGGTTAGCAAGTGATCTCTGAATGACTGATCCTCAACTTTACTTCTTAGTCACTTTTACGCCAATCTGACTGGTTACCTATACTTAACACCTTGAAATGCATAAAATCATGCTGTTTACATGAATGAATCCAGGATGCGCACTTCGTCCTATTCGGGACTCGTCAGCTGGATGTACCTACTTCCCACTGAGTGATATTATTCCCACCGGAATTCGGACTCTGGAGACCGATCGATTCGGCCCAATCAACAACGGCATGATATAAAACTACACCCATCGCACAAGAAGTGGCTATTGTGGCTCTGTGGTGTAGTGGATAACGCCCTAGCGTTTGGAACGATGACTCTGGAGTCCGAATTCCGGTGGGAACAGCTTTGCTCACTGGGAAGTAGGCACATCCAGCTGGCGAGTCCCAAATAGGACGAAATACGCGTCATGGTTTTCAATGCTAGTCACTATGCGTCAAATTATATTTCAAGTTGACTGAGTAAACTTTGAAGGCTGTTTTCATCATGAAAATATCAGTATGCTTACGATATGTAGTAGATGTGCCTTCAGGTAAGAAGGTATGATCAAATGAAGAGTTATTTCAAATGTGTTTCTATGTCATCATCAACTCTTACCAGTGATAACAGGTTCAGTAGGTTTTTTGATCCTCTGTGGAGTCATACATGCTTATCACTAAGGAGCCTCATATTAAAAATGAAAGAGGTATATCCATTCCATTTGAAACACACAGTGGTGATAAAGTACCATTTACTGGATGGTGGTTCAAGGATAAGTTGTTATTGATCACTATGTTATCAGTGTGTAATCACACAGCACTTTTGACAGTAGATTTCTATAGTTACGTCATCTTTTACTCTTCGTCTCTATTGGTAGTGAAATTTTCCATACCTCTAGTGTGGATGAATGCTGCATCATTCCTATTTAATATGTGTTAGGGTGTAGATTGGATCAACAAAGATTGGGTATTTCAGGTTGTTATTCATCATAGACTGACATCAGTTGGAGGAACAAAGGAAACCTGAGGGCACTGGACAGCTGTTTCGTCCGACTAGTATGGGACTCCTCAGCAGTGAGCACTCACGATCCCACCAGCGATCGAACCCGCGACCCTCGGGTTCCGTGGCCAGCACGTTACGATTGAGCCAGATTGGGCAATCAATCTCTCCCTCTCTCTCTCTCTCTCTCTCTATCTTCATCCAACAATTTTCAACGTACGGTCGTTATATCCTCCACTCTGCTGTATGGTTGTGTTGTCGATGTATGGATTCCAATAGCCGAGTAAATTTTATAGATTACTGATCTTATTTGGGTCTGTCATTCTATGTTTAGATAACATTCCTATGTTTCATTATTCTAAATGACTTTTATCAGCTTTTTTGACCTATATACTGAACCTGACTAACAGTCATCACATTCAATTTGATAGATTAGATTACTTTGCTTAATTGGTTCTATGTGATCCCTAGGCCAGTCGATAAAGCTTATCTCTGAGTGAGTTTGTAGGCTTGAATGTTATCCTAATTCTAGCCTCGTTGAACATCGTACGTAAAGTTTCTAATGTACCTTCCTTATAGGGTAACATAATGGAGGCTGTGAGCTCCTTTCTACTCGTCTTGTCATTATTATTCGCACTTGTGTTATTGTTATTATTTCGTTTCTTGTGTGTTTGCACGAAGTTCTTAATATACTGTGCGGGATAATCAGTAATTATTAGCGCTTCTTTTACGTGTTTCTATTCCTTGTTTAGGTCTTCGCACTAACTAGTCCGTTTTCTAGCTCTATGATTTAGACATTATAGTAAATCTGCCTTAACTGACTGGAATTGGATGAGGTGACTTGAAGTCTAGATACCTGCTGCAATATGTCGATTTTTGTAGACAGTAGTCTCTAAACTATGGCCTGTCCTTCGTTTTCTCCTGAGTGACTGTATTGCATTGCGATTACTACTGAGTTTATATGTATGAAGAAATTGTTGATGTGTGATCTATAAAATTCCACATAATGTCTGTGAGTTCAAGTACATAGGTGAAAGTAACCACTGGGGATCGGCTAGATTAGTGGAACATAGGAATTAAGCTAAATGTAGAATGACAGAACCGCTATTGCAGTGCATGCATTAACGCACGCGCACACACATAATAGGGTGGGGGGGGGGATGAAACCACTGTACCACTTCAGCGATGTAGAGAGGGAGGGAGATTGAATACCGAATCTATGTTCATTGCATTAGTCAATATCCAACACACGTGTAATAGGAATGACGCAATACTTACACCATAAATATGGAACCGTTTGCCACCAATTATTTAGTAATATTATTTATCTCCTGGGTTCCAAGTGGAACATATGACTTCAGTAGCACGTCTCCATTCCACTCTCTTCTCTACAATCTTTTCAACCTCGCTTCATCGCTACCCACAACCTTCATTTCTTCTTCACATCACCTCCTAAATGTCATCCTCACCTCAGACACCAAACTCACCGTTTCCCATCTGGGTTCCATTCGACGAACTGACCTGACGTGTGCTCACCCTAAATAGTCTTCTCAGTGCATACCCAATCCATCTCCACTTTCTTCTACATAGTTGTTGAGCGATAGCTCCTTGGTTAGTTGGTTCCCAGCCAGAGTTCCTTGTTGCTTATTCTTTCTGACCATCTGAGCTTCAGTAACGAGCCAGCATAGGCAGTTATTGATGAATATCTGAACCATATAGCAGCACTGAATTGATACTGGTATTAAAAATTCGGATCTTGTTCACGCTGTGTGCTTAGTGCAGATCTCCACATTGATTATTTCAAGCTAATGAACGCCTGTCTTGCTTTTCCGATCTTGGATTTGACATCCTCATCTGTACCGCCTGTAGTTGAGATGATGCTGCCTAGTTAGGTGTAGGTGAAAGAGGCTACTTCTTTTCAGTTTCTCCCGTTCATGGTGATAGGAACTGGTTGTTCTTGGTGGTGGTGTTGGTTGGGTATCTTCATCACATCTGTCTTTTCTCTACTTCCACTTGAAGTCCCGTCTTCGCTGCCCTGCCTTTTCTGTCAACTTGTTGGATTTTGCCTGTAGATCATCAAGTTTGTGCGACAAGACATTAGACACAAGTGATCGGCAAAATCCAAATCTTCTACGATCCCTCCCCTTGTCAAACGTATTCCCCTCTTCTCACTCCTCACTGTTTTTTGTATAATGAGTCCACTACAATCAGGAATATCATGGATGATAGCAGGCGGCCTTGTCTTGTCTTACTCATGTTTCCACCTTACTTCAAAGACATCACTTGGCTTTGCATTGTGAATTACTTAGCACGTGGCGTCATCAAATAGCTTAGCTATTGAATGAGATTGATAAAGGTTTTTGGTATTCCGTAGTGTTGGAGCAGTTGGCTAACTGCTTCTCGGTGGACGCTGTCGAAGGCCTTTTCAAAGTGGATGAAGCTGAGGTGTAGAATTGTCTGCCATTCTATACTCTCTTCTATAATGATGCGAAGCGTTGCAATTTGGTCCGCATATGATTTGTACTTCCTGTTCCGGTCGTAGTTTTGAATCCAGAGCATCCTTTAGTCTCTCTAGGATGATGCGACTTAATATTTTGCTTGGGGTGGACAGGAGTGGAGTATGGTTCCTCGCCAGTTCTTGCAAAGACTTAGGTCGCCTTTCTTCGGGAGTTTGACAAGGTAACTCTTCTTCCAATCTGCAGGTACCTTCCCTACTTTCCAGACCTTCTGTAATAGTGGTGTGGTGTGAGCATGTCCGCTGTTATCTCTGCGTCTGTTCTCACTGCTTCTGGCAGGGTTCCATTTGGTCCTGCTACTTTACTGCATTTCAGTTCAAAGTAATATGCGTTATGCTTACTTGATGTATAGAACACACTGTCAGTGCTACAGTATCATGTATTTGATGACGACATTTTGAGCAGAAACTATCACTACCTATACTGATATCAATGTGTAATAATCCTCCTTTTGATTTTTACAGTCTTGTCACCTCATATTCCGTATTTTTATTAATGACAGGCTTTCATTAACTTGAAACCAGTGTGAAGATCTATTGCACTCAGCATAAAGCGTGAAGAAGATCCAAATTCTTCATACCAATAGCAATTCAGTGCTGCTATATGGTTCAAAGACTTGATTCATTACGAAAGGCATTTCCAACAGACTTCAGATATTCATCAATAACTGCCTATGCTGGCTCGTTACTGAAGCTCAGATGGTCAGAAAGAATAAGCAACAAGGAACTCTGGCTGGGAACCAACTAACCAAGGAGCTATCGCTCAACAACTATGTAGAAGAAAGTGGAGATGGATTGGGTATGCACTGAGAAGACTATTTAGGGTGAGCACACGTCAGGTCAGTTCGTCGAATGGAACCCAGATGGGAAACGGTGAGTTTGGTGTCTGAGGTGAAGATGACATTTAGGAGATGATGTGAAGAAGAAATGAAAGGTTGTGGATAGCGATGAAGCGAGGTTGAAAAGATTGTAGAGAAGAGAGTGGAATGGAGACGTGCTACTGAAGTCATATGTTCCACTAGGAACTCAAGGGAGAAATAATAATAATATTACTTTTAAAGAATAAATACTACTAATAATTTCTCACCTTTTGTATACTCTTCTTCAGCATTCTTAAAATACTTTAATTCATACAGAATTTCACCTTTAGTATAATGTAAATGAGGCCAATTTGTTAAATTAGAATATATTCTAGTCGAATAAGTTGTTCAGCTTGATAGACATCATTTAATGCTTCATATAATATACTTTGTCGTCTATTATTATTTGGTTCATATTTCAATAAACGAATAATTCCACGTAATAACCATACACTTGGATCTAATCTTACTGATTCTAATTGGTAATATTTGAGCGGTAGACAACATTTTCCACTCAGAGTTATATTCACTGCATTTTCAGCTTGTTCAAATTGTCCATGATGTAAGTAGATAAGTGCAAGATGATAATTCGCTAAACTATTTTCAGGATCATTTTGAATAGCATTCCTAGAATAGAAATAATATAAACTGATATCATTACTATTTCACAACTTTATCATCAGTATGAAGACCTACTTAACATAGGTTTCTCAGTTTTCTAGCATTCATCAGCAATTTTCATCTATAAGTATGATGAAATGGTCAGGTCTTACATGCAGTTAATGACATAGTAGTGAGCGATAATGTCTGGAACTAAATCACCTTAAGAACAGTTTTTCATTAGGCACATATATCAGGAAAAATGCTGTGGAACAAATATAGACTTTTGTCGTACTTGAGAGGACCACCGTGTGACCTTGAAGCAACCAATCCGGTTGAAGATGACTTGATGGTCATCCTGAAGACCTTAAATTTATTCACGGGATTTTTTCATATTCTTACATTTTATATGAACGAAAAAATTATAAACTTTACGTTCTCACTGAAATGTGCTGAAGTATTAGGTTGAACATCCTAAAGTAACCTAATAACAACCCCGAATTTATATAGCTTGATCATACCATTCAAGATCAAGTAACTACGAGGTACCGATAAAGTATTGAATCAGCAAACAAACAGGGAATATAGCCACTTTTAAGCGCTGAACTTAATCTACAGAGCTTCATATGAATAATTTGGCCATAAGAGCGGGTAACTTCAGGGCCAGTTGACGTCAGTATCACAATTAACGTGGTCTGGTGTTTTGTAGCCATCTGGATGAATATCTTTATCAAAATGTACCATTTATCACCTAGACCAGATGAAAGCTACTAAATATTGTTCCATTTCTTCATGAAAAACTCTAAGCAAAATGACTGTCTTCTCATTGATACGCTCAAGGTCATTTAACAGTCACTCAAGGTCCGATAGATTTATCTTGGAATCAGAATAATGTACATTAGTGTCTAATATGCTAGTTTCTATGACAATCGGACGTGTAAGAATCATCAATCAGATCTCCAAACATACGCACACTAACGGGAACCTGATACTAGCTGCAACCCCCCTCACAAAAGTGACATTTGACTCGGTCGATCGACAGATATTCTGACAACATAGAGTGGAGAATCAAGTGAGCTAAGAGTGTCGAATAATGTCTGTCAAACATGTTCCCTCTGCCAGTAATTAACGAGGTCTCCATCTCCTCATCCCAATTCATCAGGTTCGATCTCATCAAAGGAGAATCTTTGACAAATCCAGAATACATGAATGATATAGTCCTTTCACGTAAACACACTGACTAGACGAGATGCAGAGACATCCACACATCACAAATGGTCATTTCCAGGTGTTTAGGACACATTTCTCAACACTCAAATGTGAAGTCTTTCTACACTACTCATCTCCATCTGACATTATGGAGTGGAGTGTTTCAGCGTGTTGACCACTTCAACCAATGTGTATCAGTTACGGAGTAAATGTCAATGTGGAGAAAACACCCTGTTCAAGTATTCGCCAAGTTGTGTGACTTGTGACAATGGTGTGCTTTCCATTCATTCATCAAGGATCGACTTCTGTGAATTGCTAACTGGCTGTGGAATATGACGGATGAAGGGTGGAGACATAAGCTGGCTTACAGTGTTCGACTGGTGGGGTGTCGACAGCATAGGTTTTGTGTTGTCGTGTCACGACATTAGTGATATAGGCGTCAAGTGGATAGTATTAGGTTTAAGATGTGACTTCCTACCACTATTCATTACTTCTTTGTTTATTCCAATTATCTTTCACATTGGTACACTGTATTTTGTTGTGTTGACATAATGTATAGAAAGCTGGAGGATTACTCAGTAATATCATCTCCTCGCTTTCACATGATGACTGACTGAAAATGGACTAGGTGTCTGGTTTCACCTCCAACCTCAAGATTTATTCAAATATGTCTGAGTTCAGTAAAAGTATACCATATTTCTTCACCAATCATTTCTATATATATATATACATGTCACTTTGGAAATTCTTGTTTTTCAGTGTAAGCCATGATTATTCTAAGTAATTCCTGGAAAGTAACACGTTGACAACTAGTATGTAAAGCATTGGTTATTTGTTTAATTGATGAAAAATTCTAGGTGTACATGGTTACTAATCATGGTGTGAGTGTTTTGTGTACACAGAATAATAGTAGAGAAGAGATCAACAACTGTACCACTTGTGCTGATCTATGCTGTTAACTCATATGGTTGATTAATCCTCTTGAATTTTTATGCTTGGGAACTTAGTTATGAAAGAGGAGAAAGAAAGTAAAGGATGAGGTGATCACTTCAAGAAAGTCATGAATCTACTACCACCTGTAACTCATTCAGAAATACGAGTAGCAGGCCATCCACAGAACTATCAGTGAACACAAACTCTCCAACAAAAGTAGAATTGAATTCATGAAGTGCATAAAGTTGGTGAAATGCGAGGAATCTGGATGATCAGATGGGATTCCTTCATAAGCACAGAAAATAGACGCAGAGACAATGGCGGACATGCTGACACCAGTACTGTTGAAGATTGTGAATGAAGGTAGGAAAAGTACCGGTTGATTGGAAGAAGGGCTACCTGGTGAAACTATCAGAGAACGATGAACTAATTCTTTCCAAGAACTGGAGCGGAATCACCATCCTGTCCAGCTAATGTAACATATTAAGCCGCATCTTTCGTAATCGTTAAAAAAAGCTTTGGATTCAACATATGGCTGGAACACCTCTGCTTCGGGAAAAACAAATGATGTGCGGATCAGCTTGCAACCCTACGCAACGAATCATCATAAGATAGAGTATAGGATGTCTGTCATCTCTCCACCTCAAATTCATCCACTTTGAAAAGGCCTTCGACAGCGTTGACCGAGTAGTAATTTGGCACGTGCTTCAACACTACAGTTTCAGAGACACAATCCTTTATCAGTCTCATTCAACAGCTATCTGCAATATGCTATTTGATGCTGCATGTGAAGTGATTCGAAATGGAAAGCTCAGTGATGCCTTTTAGGTGAAGTGAAGACAGCAGTTCGACCAGACAAGGTTGCCGCCTGCTATCATCGATCATGTTCCTCATTGTGGTCGATTAGATCGGAGTGGACTGGATCATGCAACAAACAACTGTGTGGAGCGAGAAGATGGGAATACGCTACCTCTTTGACCGATGAAAAGACCCTAGAAGATTTCGACTTCGCCGATGATGGTTTATGTGTGAAATCGCACAAACTCGAAGATCTACTGGCGAAAACTAAGAAGTTGGCAGAAGAGGTGAGGCGAGGCAGCAAAGACTGCATTTCCTTCAGGTGAGTGTAGAGAAGACAGGGGCGGTGAAGATAACCCAAACACCACCACCAACAGCTACAAAAAGGACCAGTTGCCATGATCGGGGCAAACATTAAGGAAGTTGTCTCTTTCACCCACCTACCAACCCAAGCAGCATCGTTTCAACTACAGGTGGCACAAGCACACATGAGGATGTCAAAGCCAGCCAGGAGCCGAAAGATAACAAGACGGGCCTTCGTGTATGAATGTGAAATCAGTATGGAGATCTACTGCATTGCACTCCACTCAGCATAATGCGAGAACAACATCCAGATTTTCAACACCAACTCAGTCAAGTAATTCAGTGCTTGTTTCTATGTGATGGTTGAGAGACTTGAGGCGTTACTCAAAGCATTTCCAACAAATTGCAGACATACATGATCATTAGCTGCCGCCTATACGCACTTGATAATAAAGATGAGACCAGGTGAGAAAGCATAAAGCAGGAGGAACTCTGGCTGACATTGAACCAACCAAGGAGCTCTCGCCCATTTGGAGACATCACTCTCCAAGCCAGGCCGTTGAGTGGAACCTGTATAGGAAAGGACTAGTTGGGCGTGTGGGTGTGACATGTAGGAGATTGTGCGAGGAAGAAATGAAAGGTTATGGGCAATCTTGGAGGCAGGTGGAGTCAATTTTCCATATATCATGATCATCAATCATACTGACCGTTGAGTACATGTTCTCATATCCAACTTCTCATTAGAAAGAGTATCATCATGATCATCAATAATTACTAATATATATATATATCTTACTTGAAATCGATCATAGCTGACATTATATCATGATTTCGAAGATGTGCAACTCCTCGATTAATTAAATATTTTGTAGAATATCGATTTAATCGAATTGCAATAGTTAAATCATCAATTGCATATTGAAATTGACCTAATTGTAGGTAAATAATTGCTCGACAATCATAAGCATCAGCAAGTAGTGTAGTGATATGATTTGATGAAAAATATTTACTATCAATTATTATTGTTTCACTACAATTCAATTCAATTTGATCATAATGATTATTTAAACTGTTTGTAATGTGTTTTAATGCATCATTTAAACATCCTAGAACCTGGTGGTAAAATTAAAAATTTAATAAAAAAATTATGAACAGACATTTGGATAAGTAAATCAACAGCTAATCAATAAATGTATGATCATTTTTCAATACTTATAAAAGTCCAGTTCATTTTAGACACACATATGAACAGAGTTGGTTTTACTTTTAACAAAAGAAACTTATTAGTTGGTTGGAGGTAATCACCGGCAGGAAAACCTGCCTCACCTAGCTTTCGTGCTTTTTAGGCACATGTCAGGAAAGTGTATCCGCAACCTCGATGGAACTGATGTCCTGACTGAGATTCAAACCCGTATCACCCAGGCCTACTGTCGATTGCCTCCAACTAATTAACATCTACTAATGTGTACCGTGATGCTGAGCTTCCTAACTTGGTTGCTACATTGCAAATATGATCAATAGAATTCGGTCTGCACTCAGGACTAGACAACATGAAATTGGTTGCATTCTAATGACCAATCAATACATAAAATAAAACTTGTATCTAACTAAAGTTATGTTGTTGTGTGCCTCTTCTAATGAATCAAGGCGGTAGTTGACGAGAAATATCACAATTTTCTACTTCACAGTACCTAACAAGTGTATAAAGCCACTTCTATGTAATGAGTGGTTGAAAAAGTCCTCAACTAATAAGTCGTTTCATCTTGGAGACACGGGACAGGTAGTTGTATACCTGCGACACAGACAAACAGTCATGGACCAATGTCACGTCTTGGTCTAATCACAGACAACCATCTTCCAACATAATCTAAATTTGCACATCAAGGTACATGGCGGTTTGGCAATCACTATCTCAATGGATGAACGTTCACAATTTCATCAGTGAACTACCGTACAGTTTTGCCCAATCTCATTCGTCTGACCTACGAATTTCTCACATGGTAAATTTAACATACCCAAGAAGTGCTGCATAGATATCTCTGATCAAAAGCGTGTAACCGCTTCATGTAACATCGCTTTAGGTTATAGATGCAGATTGTGACTCCTTTAGCATAAAAATCAATCTTTTGGCTTCATCGATTGACTGCGAATCACATAAAAAACTAAGAAGTAGGATTATCAGTTGAACTGAGGTAACTGACCGGCAATTGGTGATTAATGATCATTGAAACTTGACCACTGAATGAAGAAATACGACACCATGATGCACTGGAATCTGGCATTCGATACTAGGAGTTAAAAAACACTGCTTCCCCACCCCTTCCAAGCAGGTTTCATATTTATCACCCCTCATCAAAAAGCCATATCTACAACCATGATGACTTGGAAACGTGTCACTTAGCGCCCAAATCATTGTCCTCACGAATTACCTGTCTACACTACATTACATTACAAAACCTTCGAATTTTAAAATACTACTGTTTACTTTCAGCTTGTATAGAACACTAACCACTACGTTGAATATCAGACATTTGAACTAGTCAACACAATCTAAGATAGCGACTTCAAAAGTCAATCATTTATATCAGCTTACGTGTGTTTGTTTACGTTGTGTATAAACTGACCGAAGCACAAATGAATTTGTTAATGCTGTTTGAAGCAAGTTGCACAAAATCCTGTTCACTATGAGAAAATGACTTGGTCTACAATCTACGATTTGATAGAACGAGATTCAGCGTGGTCAAACCAAGACATGGCATTAGTCTATGAAGTCCCTGACTGTTGATCTAAGTCGTGTGGAGAGGTGTAGACTACCTGACTAGAGTCATCGAAAGGGTAGGAATTGCTGGTTGAAAACTGTCAATGATGTGGCTGACAACCGGCTCACCACTGTTTGTTGCTATGAGGTGATACACTTTTCTCATAGATTCCAATTTGATTTAACTATCTCTACTTATGTGTCTATCTGTTTCTGTGGTTCATAGGAATAACTTTACAGGTTATTAAAGCAACCACTGGAATAAAATTTGGGAATTTCGATTCAGAATATCGTTTTTCATAGAAAAGATGAATGTATTAGTGATGGATAGTGGCTAACAATGGATATCAGACAGCGCGTTTCAGACTGTTTATAACTTACTCGTCAGTTGGATACACCTGCCTCCTGGAGTAAATGATACCGCCCCCCCCCCCTAAAACTGGAACATGCAATCATTTCTTCCTTACACCATCTCCATCATGTCCCACTCACATACCCAACCAGTCCTTTCCTATGCGGGTTTCCTTTGATGGCCTGACGTATGATGTCCCCAAACCGTCGTCCTAATGTATATCCAATCGGAACCATCTCCACTTTTTCCCTCTGAATACTTGTTGAGTAATAGGTTCTTGGTTGATTGGGTCGTTGGCAAGTGATTCGTATACTTGTTACATTTGCCACCAAAATATCTTAACGGGTAGCGAAGACGGGACTGCAAGTGAATGTAGAGAAGACAGAGGTGATGAAGACACCCTACAAACAACAACAAACACCAATCATCATCAATGAGAGAAACCTAAAGGAAGGTAGTTTCTTTCACCCATCTAGACAGCAGTGTTTCAAATACATGAGACAAAGACACAGATGAGGATGTCAAAACCAGGATCGGAAAGATAACAAGACAGTGTGGAGACCGACTGCACTCAGCATAAAGCGTGAACAAGATCCGGATTTTTAACACTAATGTCAACTCAGTGCTTCTATATGGTTCGGAGACTTGAAGTGTCACGAAAAGCATTTCCGACAAACTACAGACTACACAGGCCAGAAAACATAAGCAACCAGGAACTCTAGCTGGTGAACCGACTAACCATGAAGCTATCACCCAATGAATATGCAGAAGAATAAAGTGAAGATGAATTGGATTAGGTATACAATGAGAAGGCCAATTGAGGACATTACACGCCAGGGCAGGCCGTCGTTTGGAATCCACAAGGGAGATAACAAGTTGGACATCCAAGGGTGACATGGAGGATGATTAAATATCACTTATCTCTTTCTTATCCTTATCGGTGAGTCCTTCCATTTCTCTTAAGATACCTTGAAGTGTAACCTGGAACAAGATTAATTTCAAATAAATACATAAATGAATAATGAAGTAAATTAAGCAGTAGAAAAAAGGCGTATCCCATAATGCGTAAAAGTTCACCTGTTACCTTTTCTATTCTCTCAGTTTTAATCGATTCGATTCAATATTGTTGTTCCAAGCCTCCTTCTCTCCCCCCCCCCCCCCGGGGCATCATTCTATCCCACCCTACTTTCTGTTTCTTTTTGCTCATTTTATTCAAAGCATCATTTTAGCTAAACTTATATTCTCTATTTTATACTTTTATATTCTCGAAAGATTTCTCTCTCTCTCTCTCTCTCTGTCTCTCTTTCAGATGGATAAACTATTTAGACGAACTATGAACTGTTTTCAAACTCTATTCTTCTTCCTGTTATTATTATTATCATCAATGATTATACTCTTTGTTGTTATGGTTACCTTTAGAGTATTTAGTATAATGTAGATAGACTATTTGTGTTCAATAGATTCAATGTGTACATGAGAAATTTACAAATTATATCCTGGCTGAAAAAAAAAAAGCAAAGAAACGTTTCATTTTTTAATTGTTTGTGGTGTAAATATTTATCAAATTTTCATATCTTTATTTGCGTGCGTCATTATTACTGTTGTCATTATTGATGATAGGATTGTTTAAATTGCCTCCCTTTACTTTTGTTGTTGTTTACGTTTCAAGAAAGCTGAAAAAAATTAACCTATTTCAATATTAACGATTAATGTTTCTGATTTAACTATCTGAGATAGGCGTAGTTTGACAGACTAGTAATTATACTGGGTACTGGGTAATGATTGAAGGTGAGATGAAAATCTCGACTGCGGCTGGACTCGAACCAGCCACCACTAGGTTACCAGCCCAATGCTCTACCACCTGACCTACAAAGTTCGACTACTAACCACATTTTGATTCCACTTCGATCAAAAGTGGCGTTTTTTTCCAACTATTATGTGAATTTGTAACTCGTTACTACCACTTGATTGAATTCACACTGGCTGCCTACCAGTCACGACTTCTCATCCCAATCCACATCTAACTGAATCAGAGAGGTGTGGGAACATCATATTGATTGTGATTTGACTCTCTGAGATAGGCATAGTTTGGCAGACTAGTATTTGTACTGGGAACTGGGTGATGATTGAAGATGAGATGAAAATGTGGACTGCGGACCAATGGGCCCGTAACCCGGTGATGGCTGGTTCCAACCCGGCCGCAGTCTACATTTTCATCTCACCTTCAATCATCACCCAGTTCCCAGTACAAATACTAGTCTGCCAAACTATGCCTATCTCAGAGAGTCAAATCACAATCAATATGATGTTCGCACACCTCTCTGATTCAGTTAGATGTGGATTGGGGTGAGAAGTGTTCACTGGTGAGCAGCCAGTTAGAATTCGATCAAGTGGTAGTAACGCGTCAAAAACCTCACATGGTAGTCGGGTGATACAACCTTTGGTGGTTGAAGTGAAGTAGAATTCTGGTCAGCAGTAACTCAGTTGGTAGAACACTGGAGCGCTAACCCAGTGGTGGCTGGTTCGAATCCAGCCACAGTCCACATTTTCATCTCACCTTCAATCATCACCCAGTAAAGATTAATGTCTCTCTTATCCTTTTTTTCAATACAGGTTTAATTTGTGAGCTTAAAATAAATATTTAAACAAACATGATAGAGATATGTGTAGAAATAGGTTTTCAATGATACTATGATTATGTGGAAGTACTTGGTAGACAATCAATTTATTCCTGAAATGATTGTCCGGTATGATTTCTATACTACTCAAAATGTTCAGTAGTAGTATCAACTATCGAATATTATTTATCCTTACATTCAAATTGTCTGATTACTGAAAAGGCGGATTTGTGATAAGTGACACAATCTAAAGCACATGACTTACCTAGGATAGCTACTGTTCACCATGAATTTGAAAGGTATTACGGGGATTAGTTTCAATCTAGTGAACTCATTATGTCATCTTTATGCCAATGAGTAATCATTTGCCATAAAATTCACTCAT